AGGGGAAGGGAAGTCAGAAGTTTTTCCAATGAGTTCTTGTACTTGTCGCGGTCATTTTTCTTGAAGCTTTCCTTTCCCTGTCTAGATGTTAAACCCAGGCCCAGGCTGTGCAGAGTTGTAGAGCTTCGTAGCTACCCTGGGAGCTGCGTGTTTGAGCAGGGAGCCCAACAAGAAGCGTGGCACCGCTCGGTGCCACGCAGGCTCCATTGCAGACCTGTCTCGGATTTCCCGAGCATCGCGGAAGAGAGCCGACGCTGTCGGATCGTGGTTTTGGGTCCGGTTCCTCCGTGGAATTCGTCCGCTTCGGGGTTGCTCTGAGCTTGGCATTGGAAGTGTGCTGGTGGATGTCCAGGGCCACCGTTTAGGTTATCGCTCTGTTCCAAGAACTAGGCCCAGGCCATGAAGCACTGCTTCCCTTTTTTCGTCTCACAAGATAGGCAAGTTTGCTCTGAAGCGGTCCCCTGCGTCTCTGCAGGGGATGCGCCTGCGCGACAGGCAGGTGAGGGACGTGTTGGGTGTTCAGGCGTGCTCGGACTTGCAGTCTGATCATCTTCGATGTGCCTGCTGGGAGGGCAGTCAGGCCTGTTGTGCTTTCTGGAAACCTACCCTGGATGCCAAAGTTCTCCCAGTCATGGAGCTTCAAGGTGCTGCTGTGCCGCGTCCACGGCGTGTTTGGTGGCCGCCAGGCGTGCCGGGTCAGTGGCCTCAGGTGTGAAGCTCGCAGGGCTGCGAGCGTGTGTTGTTATGTGGCTGTCTCCTTCAATGTCAGTGCGTAGAGCCCCCATGCCACGCTTTAGATAATATCACTTACATGTTAGTGTTTCTGCCCCCCAGCAGTGCAGAAGCCAAACATATTACTTGAAGCCCTGCTCCAGCGATCCGTGTTTGTCAGACAATGTTGTCCCTGGCCACAACTGCTGGGCTGCTCGTTCAAATTACCCCAGATGCCCAGACGTCAGCCCCAATTTCAGAGTTAGTGGAGCACATGAAAAGGAGATGGCCATATCACAAAGACTACATAGGACTACATCGACGCCATGCGCCGTAGTAGGATTGGAGCCCTGTGAAGGCCGACCTCCGCTGTTGCGACTGCGCCGCGTGCGCGGAGGCCTTAGTGCCGGTTTGAAGCCACGGTGCAGGGCACAGGGTCATAGGAGTCATAGGCGCTCGCGACAGGTCATAGAGTGGTAGGACTAGGATAGTGGTAGGCGCTTTGTTTGGTGCTGAATGGCCATTCTGTGCCATTGCATGATCGATACATACAGAAGTGCCTCAGCACAGCTTTTAGCAGCTCGGGATATGCGCGGCGGGCCCAAAGCCACCCTGTCGCTCTTCTTATTTCCTTTCCGGTTTATCCTTGAGGCTTTGATTCCAAAACTTAAACCCCGGCCGTGAACCCCCGAATCTTGTCAAACTCAGCTCGGGCTCGGGGTATCGTCGTATCGTCCTTTCGGGATCGGCCCCCCCCCTGGCCGTCGTGGCACAGCAGTATTGAATACTGAGGCAGGAGGCACCGCGGTGAGGTACATCAGCCGACGGAGCCGGGACCTTTGCTTCCGATTGGCTGCAGACTTTGGTGTGAGAACGGGTAGTCAAGTCTTGTTATTCATTGCCCCATGGGTGCGATTCGGCTGTGTCTGCAATCTGGTCTGCCGTATCCGTTTGTACACACGACCTAGCACGTCAGCAGCTCATCACAACCTTCAGGGCATCAAAAACATGGAAACATGCCGAGATCTTGGACTCGGCAAGACCCCGAGTACTCGCGACACAGGCTTCAGAACCAGTTGACAGCGTGTTGAACAATTTCCGCAATATCCTCGCATCAGCTGTGCTCATGCTGAGCCCAGTAGACTATATCTGCAGCACCAGCAGACACAAGTTTGTCCATCATAGCTTGGCAGTGCACATGACAGCATAGTCGCATAGTCATTCGGACAGCAAGTTGAGAGCAGTCCTTAATGACTGGCAGCAGTAGACAGTGCGAATGCACGAAGGGAGCAGCGAATGCATGTTCATGTAATTGCACCTGTTGCAACTGCAAATGTAGTGGCCGGCTTGCAGGTAGCGCACACTCATATAAAGATATAAATAACTAAATAAATGAAATGTATATGCATATGTATCTATGTGACGTTTGCAATATTAAGTCACCCTTGTGCTGTACTAGCGGATGACCTGCACGACCACAACAGAAGACATAGTGGTCAGTTAACCTTGTTTAGCTTGTGCTGCTTTAGCCATGGCTGCTGCTGTGTTGACGGGTAGCTTCCGTCCGGCGGCGCCGTCGCGTCCTCGAAGCGCGCGGCAAGGGCTTCTGGACAGGCCGGATAAGCATCCATACCCAACTTCAAATCCAATCTCATGAGCCCTCCCCTGTTGTGCCTAGACCAGGGCAGAAGCAGCAGCTGCAACAGCCTCGTGAAAAACAAACCAGCCCGGGGGCCCCAACACCAGGGTTCACAGCCAGAACAACCGTCTACCACATCAAACACGCTGAAGGTATACAGAAGCCGACCATGGGGCTACGGAGCAGTAGCTGAGCAGCATCCAAGCAGCATCCACAACCATTTCATCCGTGAATCGCAAGTGTTCGAGTGAAGCTTTAGTGTTCTCATGCCAATGCATTGATGTCGGCAGCTTGACATTCGAATCGAACTTTAAAGTCTTGGAGAGGCCGACAGCCTTCCGCGCCGGACGCGGCAGCCGGCGCCAGACGCACAGAGTGACAGCCGCGGCGGAGGCAGTGCAAGGGCTCCATGTTTGTGTTCGGGTCCGTAGATTTCAATTTGTTTTCCATTACCTGATCAGGCTGACACAGGATGTGGCTAGACTCTGTTTCACGAGGCGTCTAAGAACCTGGAGCGACGGCACCGATTCTGAGTGAAAGCCGAACTCCCGCAAACCTGCAGCCAAGGTTCACGAACACGCAGGTAAAGCTCCATTGATCTGTGACATTCAGTGACCATAGAGCTGTGCTCTGCCACACCCATTATTGAGTGACTACGCACCCACACATTCGGGCTGTATGTCACGCCAATGTACCGACTGCTCATGCATGTTCTTCATCGCAGTCGGCCGCGTTGGCTGCTGCTCTCGCAGTGCGACGGCCGCGTCGGAAGGCCTGCTGGTGAAAAGCATAAAGTTCTACCACGTGGGCAACAACGGTACGATTGTCGTGCTACCAACAATTAGAAAGTAGAAGCCAGTTAATTGCGATTACGATTCCTTAGGGGTTTTATTGCACTTATCGTATAATCTAACCCCTAGAGCCGCAGTCATGTTGAGCCGGAGCAGATTAAACTCGGTCAAGCACCGTGCTGGAGGGGACTCATCCGCATTGGTCCAACTTACAATTCCGACCCTGTTACAGTCGGGTTAGAGCAACCTTATTCAACCCAACATCTCCCATTCGGCTTAGATTCGGTTCTCTGCCACTCAAGTTCGGTTTGAAGCCGCTTCAGCACTTCCGACGGTTCTCTGGCTTTGTCCTCAGGATGACCTGTAACAGCGAGCCTCGCATGTTGTGTGCAGAGGTACCTGATCCTGGCATGCCGTAAGGCTCCTCGACCCCGTGCCGTTCTCACACCGTCACGTCTTCCTGTAAGACTGTCTTATCAAGCAAGCCCGAAGCTTTGCGCAAGAAAGGGCCAATCTCACAGCCCTAGACAACCCTGCATCGGCAAAGCCTTAAAACTAATTCAATTTTGGTTTGGATGCCCTTGTTTGGTTTGTCTAGGCTTTGAGCCGGGAGACACACACCCTCACATGTTGTAGGATTCAGTGAGAAAAGTCGTCCGTCGGGATGTGGAAAGGTAAAGCTAACAATCGAATCCTATCATGATTGGAGCCGTAAACGCAAACTTGCTGCATGCTGCGGAGCGACACATACATTACCAGTGCGTGCTTCGACAAGGGTGTCCGAAAAATGCTGAGTGACACTACAGACGGGTTGATCGGAGGGAGTTGGGAATCTGGAAGTGGTTGGAAATATGTCCAACCAACGGCAAGCGGTGTGCACTACTTCTCATAAGTGATCGATCAACGAAAACGTCTAAACACCCCACCAAACCTAGACCACAACTGCCCTAACCTGGGAAGCCCCGAGCCGAACAGGTCTTGCTTGGCCTCGGGGGCGCCGCAGCTGCCCCTGCTCCTGCGGCCCTTGCCGAGGCGCCCGCTCTGACGAGGCCCTGTTGCGTGGGATTCGGGGCCAAAGCAACCCTTCTGAGCAATGTGGTCAGGTTCATCACATCACTGAAAGATGGCCATAGTCGCCACGATGGGCATGCATGCATGCATGCATCATCATCACCACCACCATCATCATCACCAAGATGATGATCATCATCGCCATCACCGTCATCATCCTTGTCATCACCACCACCACCACCACCATCGTCATCACCATCAGCATCATCAACAACACCACCATCAACATCAACATCAACATCAACATCAACATCAACATCAACATCAACATCACCACCATCAATCATCATCCTCGCTGTCACCGCCGCCGGCGTCGTCGTCGTCGTCGACGTCATGAACTCATCCTCGTTCTTACTTGTCATGCATGAGAATGATGCGCATCCTCGTCCTAGTGTCGTTTTTGTCGTCGTGGCCAGCACCGTATGATGGTTCACGCACCAGTATCCTGAGCCGCACCATCATCATCATCATCATCATCTCCTCCTCCTCCTCATCCTCTGCTGCTTCATGTCCCTGATCACGGTTGTGGCCATGGCCGCGGCTTGACACTACTTGTATCATCAGGCGTCGGTGGGGCTGGTGTCATGGGTTCCTTCCTCTTGGGCTTTGCTAGCTACACCTTGTTTTATAGCTGCCTCAGCGCTGTAGCATTCGCAGATTGGAGCTGAGGACTTTATAAACAGCTGCAGGGCCAGTTGCGAGTGAAGATCCTATACCCGCATTCCACATCCAGCACTTGACCCCCTGCATATCCATGCAGGCAAACGGATGTCTTTGACGGTGAAGTCATGAAGAGCCCGCTGGACTTGGCGGGAGGGATCGTTGGCTGTTGCTAGCACTGTGAATACTTGAACGGCTATCCCGAAGCTGCCCAGGACACACGAAATTACCGTGCGCTGACCCTGGGCAATGGCATGAGGGTCGAGCCCTGAGCGCCACAGTGAGGGAGAACCTCAGGTCTTTCTGGGGAGGCTCCTCGGGATCTCTGGCTTCACTGCCAGGTCCTTCTGGCATCTGATCCAGACGCAGTCACAGCTTCGAGCGCCCTATCCGTCCACGTGGGCTTCTACTCGGATCCCGAGGAACTTGCGCTGCGTGTTTGTTCGGTGGCAGGCGCTGTGCCGGTGCAGCCCTCATCCCCGGCCGCTTGTGATAAGATCGCCAAGAGAATGTCGGTGTAGGCTTCAACGATTAGTTCATATGAGTTAACTCCAAGAGTGGCTGTCTCCTGTAGAAGTTCCGCAGGATATTCCCGGGCTCGCACACTTCTGCGAGTTGCCAGGCAGCTTCAGAACCTTTGTTCATGCAAAGAGAGGATTTTGAGGTTCCTTTGACGACTGCCCGACTGCCGAGGCACATGCTTTTTCTGGGTACCAAAGAGTACCCAGAGGAGAACTCCTTCGAAAGCTTTCTGGTTGCGAACTCTGGCAGCCAAAATGCTTTCACATCAGCTGCTTGGCTGGAACAGGAGGGCAGCAATCGCAGCAGCGTGCAGCAGCTCATGGAGCACTTCTGTTCTGGGTTATGCTAGGGTACGTTATGGATGAAGCAAGCTCTCCACCAGCTCTATCTCTCGTGTTTGTTTCTTTTTTAAATTTCTTTATGTCTTTCTTTCTTTCTCCCTCTCTCTGTCTCT